ATGTAGCGAGCACAGACACCTAAGTTGAATGGACATGAGCAACACATCTCGAAGAACCCCAGCTACAAAAAGGGTAACTGTATTTTCTGTTCCTGGCTCTGCTGTTTGCATGCTGGATGACTGGGCAAGTGACTTCACCTCTCTGTGCCTCACTTTTTCATCTATTAAATGGGGGGTAATGATCCTGACCTCCTTTGTAAAGCATTTTCAGATCTATGGATGAAAGCACTATGTAAGAGCTAGGTGGTATTGTTATTATATAGTAGAAATAGAGTTGAAAGTATTATATGGAATATGTGCCTTGTCTCTTTAAAGGCAGACAGTGAGCTGGAGTCAATTTGACACCTCCAGCCAGGACAATCAACTTGCAGGAGCTGCGTCATTAGGGTGGAACAAAGAGAAGAGGACCCTTGAAGTGGGGGAGGTTTATTTAGAAATAAGATAGGAAAGGGGTAAAGGAGAGACAGGAACCCATACCTGTTTTCTGTAAGGCAATGAATGCAATCCTGTCTGGAGTTGGAATGCATACAGTGGCTATATAAATGAGTGACTGTCATTGCCTGCTCTTTGAAGACGCCTTCATAGATCATGGAGGGATGGGGCAGATGAAAGTAATCTGAAAAGGGGTGTAGGGACCAGAGAGACAAGGAAGTGGGAGGATACATACTCAAGGCAGGATCTGTAGAGACTGCCCTGCCAGAGGGCAAGGGAGGCAGAAGAAGGACGAACTCTAGCAGTGCAAGAGTTTGCTCGTTGACCATGATGACCTGGATTGTGCCCCAGTAGATTAGTTTGTGCAGAGGGTAAGGCTGGCTGGGCTGTGGAGACCATTCCTTTTTTTGCAGTCTCCAACTCCAACAGTTTCTTGCTGCTGTTTGGGAACTTCTTACAGATTGTCCTACGAGGTCAAAAACCAAAACAACACCTGCTCAGCCTCTAAGATCCTGTCTAGATTAGGGTGCAAGGTCTGGTGTTCAAGTCAAGTGAAGCCAGGGAACATACACTGTCTTTAATACATGTTAAATTGGTTGAGTTATAGCCTAGGGGTGAGCCCTAACTGCCGGGCTATGTGGTCAGTCTGTGTGTGTCTCACTCGCAGTGTCTCCTGTTGAAACTGTTCCACTTTGTATGAATAATAAACATTCATTGGGTCAGAGAGAGAGAGAGACTGACTCTATAGCCCAATGGTCAGGGCACTGCCGTGAGAGACCCATGGGTTTCCTAGGTGAGTGCCTTAGTCATTGGGCTAGTGGATATTTTGAGCTGGGATCTTTCTGTGCAAAAAATGTTGAAAGGTCTCAGTTTTGTTCTTCATTGTACTGAAAACAAATACCAAAGTTTCCTTTTTTTGGCCCAGCCAGCCCTAGCTAACATGTTCTTAAAGCTCACCCTTTATCCTGGTCTAGACAAAGCCTAAACACAGGGAATGAAGGAAGGCTATATAGAGCCTTTCCTGCTTGAGCAAAAAAGGGGGATCATTTCCTACAAGCTGTGCTGCTTTCAGGGCAGAGATCTTAAATATGAACTGCAAACAGGGCAGGCACCAGCCAACCAAGCACGTGCTTGGGGTGGCACCTTGTAAGGGGCGGCCAAACTTCAGGTGGCGCGGCGGCGCTCGGGTTCTTTTTTTCTTTGGTTCAGCAGGGCGGAGCTCAAGGTTTTTTTGTTTGTTTGTTTCAGCAGGGCAGGGCGGCGCTCGGGGGGGTTGTTTCGGCGGGGCAGGGCGGCGCTCGGGAGGGGTTATTTCGGCGGAGTGGAGCTACTTTTTTTTTTTTTTTTTGTAGCCGGCCCTGACTGCAAACACCTAATGACCATAGATGAGAACAGAGTTTAAAAGGCTTTAAGTGGCACAAGAGCAGTCTTCATGGATCTTGCAGGTTTCCCAACGTAGGTGAACATACTGAAAAGGTTTCTGACATGAAAAGTTTGTGCTGGGGTTTTCTCCCTCCTAGCCCAATTCAGCTCCAGCTCCTCCTTGTCTCCATGCCAGCTACCCTTGTGGGCTCACAAAAAAGTTACTACAACTTCAAGCAACTGTTTGGCAGTTTGCCTGGCTGTAGTGCTGGTAGGAATGATGGCACATGGTCTCTGCCTTGGCACTTTGCGAGC